CCGATCCTTGCAGCACACCGCTGGTCACAAGCCTACCACTGACTCCTGCCAGCAAGCCATTTTGTATCCAATTGCCTAGCTCTCCTTGCATCCCGTATGATCTAACCTTACTAGCCAGGCTACCATGTGGAACCTTTTCAAAGGCCTTGGTAAAAGCCCATGTAGACAATGCCTGCCTCTGTAACTTCATGTATCTTCTAGACTCCATTTTCTCCCCCTTGGTCCAGGAACTCCCTACCTATGTCCGTGACATCACCCACGCCCTCCACCTCCTCCAGAACTTCCAATTCCCCGGTCCCCAACACCTCATCTTTACCATGGATGTCCAGTCCCTCTACACCTGCATTCCCCATGCAGATGGCCTTAAGGCCCTCCACTTCTTCCTGTCCCGCAGGCCCGACCAGTCCCCCTCCACTGATACCCTCATCCGCTTAGCCGAACTCGTCCTCACACTCAACAACTTCTCTTTCAATTCCTCCCACTTCCTACAGACAAAGGGGGTAGCCATGGGTACCCGCATGGGCCCAAGCTACGCCTGCCTCTTTGTAGGTTACGTGGAACAATCCCTCTTCCGTACCTACACCGGCCCTAAACCCCACCTCTTCCTCCGTTACATTGATGACTGTATCGGCGCCGCCTCGTGCTCCCACGAGGAGCTCGAACAGTTCATACACTTCACTAACACCTTCCACCCCAACCTTAAGTTTACCTGGACCATCTCTAACACCTCTCTCCCCTTCCTGGACCTCTCTGTCTCCATATCGGGCAACCACCTAGAAACCGATATTCATTTCAAGCCCACCGACTCCCACAGCTACCTAGAATACTCCTCCTCCCACCCACCTTCCTGCAAAAATGCTTTCCCCTATTCCCAATTCCTTCGCCTCCGCCGCATCTGCTCCCAGGATGAGGCATTCCACTCCCGTACATCTCAGTTGTCCTCGTTTTTCAAGGACCGTAACTTCCCCTCCTCGGTGGTCGAGAACGCCCTCAACCGTGTCTCCCACATCTCCCGCACCTCATCCCTCACACCCCGTCCACGCAATAAGAACCAAAAAAGAATCCCCCTCGTCCTCACGTACCACCCCACCAACCTCCGGATCCAACGCATCATCCTCCGACACTTCCGCCATCTGCAATCCGACCCCACCACCAAAGACATCTTTCCCTCCCCACCCTTATCTGCTTTCCGGAGGGACAACTCTCTCCGTGACTCCCTTGTCCGCTCCACACTCCCCTCCAGCTCCACCACACCCGGCACTTTTCCCTGCAACCGCAGGAAGTGCTACACCTGCCCCCATACCTCCTCCCTCACCCCCATCCCAGGCCCCAAGAAGACTTTCCACATCAAGCAGATGTTCACCTGCACATCTGCCAATGTGGTATACTGCATCCGCTGTACCCGGTGTGGCTTCCTCTACATCGGGGAAACCAAGCGGAGACTCGGGGACCGCTTTGCAGAACACCTACGCTCGGTTCGCAATAAACAACTGCACCTCCCAATCGCGAACCATTTCAACTCCCCCTCCCATTCCTCAGACGACATGTCCATCCTGGGCCTCCTGCAGTGCCACAACGATGCCACCCGAAGGTTGCAGGAACAGCAACTCATATTCCGCTTGGGAACCCTGCAGCCCAATGGTATCAATGTGGATTTCACAAGTTTCAAAATCTCCCCTCCCCCTACCGCATCCCAAAACCAGTCCAGCTCGTCCCTGTTCTTCCTCCCACCTATCCCCTCCTCCCACCTCAAGCCGCACCTTCATCTCCTACCGACCAACCTCATCCCGCCCCCTTGACCTGTCCGTCCTCCCTGGACTGACCTATCCCCTTCCTAACTCCCTACCTACACTCACCTTTACTGGCTCCATCCCCGCCTCTTCGACCTGTTTGTTTCCTCTCCACCTATCCTCTCCTCTATCCCTCTTCTATCCGCCTCCCACTCTCTCCCTATTTGTTTCAAAACCCCCTTCCTCTCCCCCTTTTCTGATGAAGGGTCTAGGCCCGAAACGTCAGCCTTTCTGCTCCTATGATGCTGCTTGGCCTGCTGTGTTCATCCAGCCCTGCACCCCGATCTGCAAAGACTGGTCTTTTTCTTATTGCGAGGTTGTGTCTGTGTTTGGGATTAAGGTGATATAGTTTAATCCTGACTTGTAGCTTTGATGTTAATCAGTAGTTGCCGCTTTTTTAAAGAATGGCTTCTGTTTATCATAAATGGATTATTTTGAGTTCATTAAAGAAGTCTGGTCAACATTCTGGTTAGGAGTACAAAAGAGCAGAATTGACTGTTTTGAGAACTGAATCAACATATTTATACTAATGGTGTGAGTGGTGGAGTAGTGGAATTTGATTATCAACACATTCCTCCTGTCACAGTCATAACAATATAATCATGGCCAAGGAGCTCTTCTGTTGCAGTGGTTATGTCCCTACCTCTGAGCCAGGAGGCCTGGGTTAACATTCTAACTGTTCCAACATGGTGTAATAAATTCCCTGAACAGGTTGATTAGAAAATATTGATAATCATGGCTGATTTTTGGCTTCAACTCTACTTTCCCACTTGCTGTCAGCACCTCCTGATTCCACAAGAGATCAAAATTCTGTCTGTCTTAACTTTAACCTTCTGGAGCAAAGAATTCAAAAGACTCATAACTCTTTTAGTGAAGAAATTTCTCCTCATTTCAGTCCTAAATGATCATCCTGTTAGCTTGAGATTGTGGCCCTGTACCCCAGATTCCAGGAAAAGAACCTCTCAGAGTCTAATTTGGCAAGCTCCTTCAGAATCATGTATATTACAATGTAATCAACACTCATTCTTTTTAACTCCAGAGAACATGAGCTCAATTTGCTCAGCCTGTCATTATAGGACAATCTTCTCATCCCAGTTTCCAATTTAACAAACATTGTTGTGCTCCCTTTCATGCAAGTGTACACCTCCTTAAGTATGGAGACTAAAACTACAGTCCCACCAGAACTCCAAACAATTTATTCTTGTACACCAGTTGAAGGCCAACACGACAGTAGCCTCACTAATTGATGACTGAACCTTCATGTTAACTTTCTGTGTCCATTGTGTAAGTACAACCAAGTCCCTCTGAACATCAACCAACTGGAAAAATCAGGTCCAATGAACATTTACTCATTTTCCAATTAGCAGTGGACTGTGCTAAAATAAAGGGCATTGTGACAGTCTCCTGAAATTGTTATTTGCTACAAGGACTTACCTGATTTGTGCGATTCAATAAGCTCCAGAAGTTGCTGGCCTTCTTCTACCACGGCATCTTTTAGCGCACAGTGACTATCTACATTGAGTTTAAAACACTGCAACAAAAAAAAGTGCCACCTTAACTAGTGAAACATTGGCATCTTCAAAATTAACTGATTTATTAAAAAAAAATTGGTCTTTTTTTTTAGTTGTTTAATCCTGTCAAGACGGTAGGGAATAATACCAGAGTTTTGAAACCATGATTCCTCCTGTATCTTATGTGCATAATTACTTTCCATGCCTTAGTAGGCTATTTTATCATAGAAAACAAGTCTCATTCTTCCTCCTATTTATGTTCCAGAATGTAACATAGGGCATGGGATAACAATCAGAAACAAGAATCCTCAACAATTTGCCTGTCCTGAGCGTGGTTATCATGCCCCCATTATTGACCTGGTTGAAGTTTGCTAATTCAACATATATATTCAAACACCCAACTGAAATCACATAATTATGCTCATTAATACCTAAATAGAACATATTGACACATTGTCAGATAGCTCAGCCGCTGAATGTGTACAAGGGATGAGTTGTTATAACTGAAAGAATTTTTAGTCAAGTCACCTAATCCTCAAGAAAAGGTTTCTGATTGCAGCCTGTGCCTACAGAAGACAATCCTTGAATATTTAAACGCTAACTGAAAAGGGATATTGGTAGAGGCATGGTCATCTCATTATACTCTCAACCAAGGATTGCAGAGGTCCAAAAGAACTCTTTAAAAGTGAACAGTTTAAACATATATATTATTTTGTAAATAAATGTTTGTGTATATCTCCATTCTACTTCGTGTATCTGTTTCAATTAAAATAAAAAATTGTTTCTCTGGATCTGAATTTTGAAAATTGTTGAAGGTATGATTTCAGATTTTTAAGCAATTCAAGAACTACAACCCCAACCACACATTTGGCAGGTGTTTTCAGGAGATGGAAGTGGTCCTTGGCCCTGAGATCATTGGCATTCTTTTCCCCAGTTCCTCTTCCAAACTTCTTCTTGCAAGGATCAATTCCACCTCCCAGAAAAGCCTTCCAAATGTATGGTTGGAGTTGCAGTTCTAGGATCAGATTCATCAGCCACACAAGACCCTACAGAATCCATGACCGGAGACAGGGAATTTACTGGATGGATAATCATATTTGTTAGAGATTGATTGCTGATGAATTAATGATTACAATGAAATACTTGTAAAAATATTACTCTTGCATTGATAACCAATTTAATAAACAGCAAAGCAATTAATTATAACTTTATTTTTGATCTGGTCAGACAATCCTAAGCAAGCACAATGTGAAATAAAAAAATAAATAGCTTACACACTGACTTAATAATAGTGCTTTTACAAAATCTAATGTTTTTCACTGTTTCAATGTAATATTTTTGATAGAGGACAGCACACTTATGAAATAAAATTTTCAACAACAATAGCCTGTATTAACAGGCTGAAGCTTCCATAAAAAATAATCTTGTCTGTATCCACGACTGGATACTAAGCATGTTCCCTAACATTGAGAATTAAATGACAAGTTCACACAAAAGGGATCTAAGTGAAGAACATTTGCACAATTTGCTTTTAATTTTGCAGGAAGCGTTCTCTAATTTGTCATACAATATATGTTACTCACGTTTTCTAACCGATTAGATTAATCCCTGAGATATGCATTGGATAACGATGAGAAAAAGAATCCTCCTTAAACCGATATTGCTGCAGTCAATTATAGCTCATCTGGGATGAAATCTGTACGTCCTAGGATTTCTGCTTATGGTTCAAGTACACACTCGATAAATTCCAAAAAGGATCCCTCACATAATAAACACATTGCATTATAGTCTAAATCAATTAAAATGCGTAATTGCATTTAGTGGATAGTGTGGTGTTATTATGACTGAAATAATGCAATGTTCTTCTTTCTTGATGTAAAAGAGATTTGCCACTTACATGAAGAAAGTGTTCCTTAAGCATGCTGTATTAAAATACTTAATGTTATTCTATTAAATCAAAAGGTTTTAATATATAACTCATTCTGTCAATATGAGATTTCAGGAGTGTATGTCTTACCAAATGGGTTTCCAGATAAAGCTTCAGACTGCATGTATCAGCTTTTGGAGGTGTCCAGTTTTCAGTTGTTTCCATGGCTTCAAACAACCAATGAATCAATTCATCAAGCTTATTTACAAAACCCTAAAGAAACAGGAATAATTTAAGAAGTAATCAAAGTTATTGAACTGAACTAATCTTTAGCCATTGCAGAGAATACTAGTTTCAAGGGTTCTGACTGAATAACGATCAAGGTTTATTGCTGATGTCAGACATCAAACTAGCCCTCTTTTGTTTGTCTTTCTGTCATAAGACAAAACCACCCTTTGAATAGTGTTAGCGTGAGGCTCAAAAATGATATCTCCAAACCAAATGATTAAGAGTTAATTGTGAACAGTTATTTGGACATGGCAATAAACAATTGCAGGAAAATACATGAAATACAGGCTTAGTGTAAAAACAGTCCGTTGTTTTAACAAGAACCTTGCCTTAGTTTGGAATCAGGCTATTTTGCAGTGACACCTGGATTTGTTTGTGACCACCAAGCAAAGAGGAATACTTAGGAAAGCACTGAGGAATGGAAATACAACACGTAATATCAGATTCAGAATGACATTAATTTGGTGACATTTTGTAGCTCGCTGGGACCTTTCACTATCAGATTGGGGTTGATGAGATTGGGACCAGTGGCTCCTTACTATTGGACTGGGGTTCATGGACCATGCTGTGGAAACTGAGATAGATCTCCAAAAGTCAGCCATCACCCGGGAGTCAATGATGGGCAAAGGCAGTGAGACTCACTTGTGGAATATATCTAAGGTAGTTTAAGCAAATAGCTCATTAGTTTGCACATATCTAAATTAGATTAAGTAATAAATTTTTGCTTGATATTAAAGTGCACGTCTTCTTGTATTCATTCCGATCAGACCTTAAAGAACCCATTGGACACTTACAATACAGAGTGGTAAGAAATTTTATTATTTTATTAGACCACGTTAAGTACAACAAATACTGTTCCCTTTTCTTTTTAAGTGTAAAAAGTAATCTCTGAGCATCTTTTAACAGAATGAAACCAAGTATGTACATTAACAAAAACTGAAGATATTCTACCCCTCCTCACCTAATTGTAACATTAGAAAATATATCACAATGTCTGAATATATTACAATGCATAAAATAGGAAACAAAATAAGTCACAGCAGTGATTCAATAGTTATAAAGGTGTGTCAAAGTTTATCACGTTATCAATATTTCTATTTGTAGAGAAAAGTTTATAGATGGTTGTAAAATCTCTGAGTAGATTTCTGGCAGGGGAGGTGTTAGGTCAGGAGGGGGGACTGTCAAATGTGAGAGGTGTCATGGTGGAGGGGTCTGCTTTTAGGGCAGTCAGTGAGGAGGCGAAATTCAGTTTAATAGTTAGGAGAAGGAGTAGGTCTTTAATCCTAACTTATCCTGGATAAGTATTAAGCTTAAGTGAATCAGCACTCTCCTAATTCTCCGACTTTAAGGGACTTTCTGATGGTTTTAAGTAAAGTGGAATTGCCCATTGGAATTATCATTTTCCTGGGCAATTCCTTCAGAGTCATCTATGTCAAGATTTCTGCATGGTCCCAATGCCCAACTCCAGTCTACATTGCAACGTGACTGACTGGCCATCAGAGTATCTGAGCCAATACATATGCCAGAAATTCCAGGTCATTTGTATGCCAGCAAATATGTTATTCCCTATGAATTTAAGCTTCTCCTGGTAAAGGATGTTCATATGGGGAAAAGGACAATTCCCTGTTTCTGCCCTTCAAGAAACAAGTATTTCCAAGAATTACAGACAGTAGCCCTTGTATTGTGCGCCAACAAATATCTTAGCTCCAACCTCAGAAAGCATCTTTACCCAAGCATCACAGCATTTTGTATTTCACACAGGAGCTACCGTGTACCTTCTCTAAGTGATGACTGTTAATTTTGTTAAGTTGCAAACATGTGTCAAATGAGATACAGTTTTATGCCGTGGCCCTACAACAAATTAGACTCAAACTGACTAAAATCATTTCACATTAGATTGAAATGTATATCAGGTAAATGTTTCATCCAGCCAATCAAAGCTAAACTGAATTCTGAACTCCGGGACAAACAAACAGCCACTTAATTTGGTGAACCACTGAGTGCACAAGAACATTTTCAAAGCAATTTTCCCTACTTTTATCTGAATTATAGAATTCTTCTTGTTTGGTTGTTGTGAGTTCTGTATGCCTTTGGTTCTGTTTCTATTAATCACACTGACTATCCTTTCAGGCTAAAGACACTGATGAAACATCTGTCATTCTGTTCATCTGGAGAGAAACAATTCATGCCAAATCTGGTCAGTCACCAAAATTACTTTTTTCCCAACCCATGGAAGAATTGCCTCCTCATAGCCCTAGTTCTGTGCTGTTTAAATTGTCATCCGTTGCATCATCACCTTACGGACTGATTTTTCTGACATTTACTACACCAGCCCTTCATATTTTTCAGCTAATTCTGAATTTCTGGTGTCTCAACATGAGGTCCCACAATTTTATCAATCCCATTGATATATTCAGGAAAACCGATTGATGTAGGATAAAACTGAAGTGCATCTTTATTTGGTCCAATATTACAACACAACCACACCCTGCTTTTGTTTCTTTATTGACTGGGAATTTTTTTTTAAACTGATCATGTGAACCCCTATAAAAGTCCTACAACTCTGGATAATTAAATAAACACAATCGACATCAATCTCAGCAAACTCTACTTTTCTCATACCAACGACTTGATTTGAAGGCTTAAATATCTCAAGATGCTTTCCCCATCTTCAGATTGCATTTGTTGTTCTAAGTTAGTCAGCATCCTACCTACCATCAGAGATTGATCTCTCAGCGATCATGCCCTTTACTTGTCTATTTCTTTTCCTCAACGGCTTTATCCTGATACCCCGTCCCACTTTTCAATAGGCTGTTAAAATATGTAACCCTTCAATTGTGTGTTAATTTCCCACAAAGCCCATAAATTCCTTTACTTTGTTTCATTGAAGAATGCTCTAGCTCAAGGAGTGATGTATAAATTTTCATTACTGCTGTCAATTTTAACAAAGATTAAAAATAGTAAGTGTGCAGCATTTTTGTGACCTGTAATGCATGATTATAACCAAAGATTTGCAAATAATGTGGCCATCTTGTTACTTCTCCCCTTAATTTATTAAATGATATCTTAGGTTTTTCTTATCATTTGCTTTCCTCAGTAAGTGTAATTTTGTTTTACCTTGCCAGAAAGGAAGAACTGTGGCATCAGTGGTTCTTTCAAATTAACATGAAACTGAACTTTCTTTTATCAGATACCATTCCATTGAATTTAGTTTTGCTGCCATCATCAGGGCATAAAGGTTAACTACTACATTGAGCAGTGTGAATGTTAAATTTTGTTGAAATTTTATCTTCAATCAAAGCTGTAGTACCATAACATTTCACTTTGTGCTGCACTGTATAACTGTAACATATGCTAAAGCGTATCTTGGTAACTAACTTTCTGCAACAGTAAGTCTTCATTTGTAGAGCAAATTAACAATAAAATGAGATCTTCAGAAATCCATGACATTGTTAAATATGATGAAAATAACATCCCCAACCTATGTGTGGTGAAGACAGTTGGTAAAGCTATTCCATATTGACTTGCATTTAAATCTCATACTGAACTGGCAGAGTCAATGGGAGTGGTATTTTCTCGGATGACCATTCACAAACTCAGTGATACTTGTCACCTCTACCTGTATGAGATACCATGCAACAGTTGCTTGAGGTAGCACAGTGTGGAGCTGGAGGACCACAGCAGGCCAGGCAGCATCAGAGGAACAGAAAAGTTGACGTTTCGGTTTGGGACCCTTCTTTAGACCCTTCATTTCTGAAGAAGGGTCCCAACGCGAAACGTCGACTTTCCTGCTCTTCTGATGCTACCTGGCCTGCTGTGCTCTTCCAGCTCCACACTGTGTTATCTCTGACTCCAGCATCAGCAGTTCTTACTATCTCTGGTTGCTTGAGGTAGTTCTCTGCCACCAATCCTCTTTTGTTTCAATTTTTGCCTAGACGCTTGGCTCCCAAATCAAGTGTCACTACTGACTGGGGTTCTACCTGTCCCAGTCTTTCTGATTCATATATGGGATAGGGATGTCGCTGGTAAAGCCAGCATTTATTGCCCATCCCTAATTGCCCAGAGGCCTTTTAAGAGTCAACCACATTGCTGAGGGGGTACAGAAGCACATGTAAACTAGACCAGGTAAAGGTGGCAGTTTTCTTCTCTAAAGGACATTAATTGCAAAGGCCTGGCATGGTAGTTGTATCATTCCATATCACCTGTCCCTTGTGGGTAAACTTGCAAAAAAAAAACCCACCTGTGATCACAAGTCCATCAGGAAGTGGTCAGCACAGCATGTCCTCAAGAACATGTTGGAAAAGGAGAGGGTAGATCCTGTCAGGTGGCTCCCTGAGCTGACTATCAAAGTTATTTGGCAAATTGCCTCATCACCAGAATTTTCCAACAAGTGCTGAGACATAACTTGGCTCTTGGTGAGAAGGACACTGCCCATCAGATCCTTCATGCACACCCATCTCTGTGCACCAATGCATGCTGCCCTCAAAGTGGCTGTACTGACAAACAGACTGTCACACATCTCCTTCTAGAATGTGCCTTTGCAAAGAAGGTCTGCAGAGAGACGCAGTGGATTTTGTCAAGATTCGTCCCAAATATCTCCATGATGCAGGAGCTGGTGTTCAGTTGTCTGTTCCCTGGGATGCGCACCAAGACTAACATCAACTGCAACTGGAAGACCAGCAACTTGGTAAAAGCTGGTCTTTGGCCTGCCTGAAACTTGTTGGTCTTCCATGGTAAAGAGTTGTTCTCAACCGATCATAGTTGGGATTATGATTGGTATGGACTGGTTGGATGGAAGGGTCTGTTTCCATGCTGTTTGACTCTATGACTCCATGAGTGTTGCAAACTGGCATATTCCAAGGTCCATGACTGCATGCTGAGGGATATGCTAAAACTTCGGGCAGCTACCACCAAGGCACAGAGAGCAAAGACTACTGTTTAAGGTCTTTCTGCAAAAGTAAACAAGGGCCTGTTCAGTTCTTTGA